TTCCACTCCCCCGCTTCTGGTATCGCTATTCCCACTCCTGTTCCTGGATTCTGTGTGTCGTCAGCCCCCACCTCTTATCTATGCCTGTGTACATGCCCCGGTCTAGTCTGAATTGAGAAGCAGCACTGGGGTCATGATAGTGGGGGGTGAGGAAGCCTCAAGGAACCAGAGGAATATTGTGTTTCATCAATGCTTTACTGCACCCTGGTTGACTCATCCTTTCCCTATGGCCCCTCTGTGGGGGGATTGTTCCATTGTCTACAGATGGGCTTTGGGTCTCTGCTCCAACCCCCCTTCCCATAAATTTTTTGAAGCCTCCTTGTATGTACCTGTCATTTATGATTATCCCTCTTTGTTAGGCACTGTGGGGTAGATATTATTGTACCTATAGGTGAATAAACTGAGGTTTAGGAAGTTTAAATAGTTCTCTGAAGGTCGCATAGCTAATCACTGATGGAGCTGAAATCCAAACCTTAATCTTTGGTGGCACCAAAGCCTGTGCTTTTAATTACTATTTCCCTGCATACCCAGCCACATAAGTAACTTTCAGCTCATGTGTTTTCCTCTCCTCTAGTTTCCGAATCTTTTATGTAGCATGTAAGACACCCAGGGGCTCACAGTGAAAGGAGACTGAGTGTCAGAAGTAGCACTGTTACTATTTCCCTGGAGAAAGAGTGTAGGAAGAGTGGTAGATGTGGGGTAGACTTGTCATGAGGATACTGTTGGCCTCTTTCTGTAATGAGGCCTGTCAGTGGCTCCAGACCACCCAGTTGTCGTTTTACATTCCTCAGAGACACCACTTACTGCTGCCCTCAGTTGATTCCGACTCATGCTGAGCCTGTCTGACTGAGAACGGCCTCATAGGTTCTCCAGGAAACTGCTGACCTCTGGGTTAACGGCCAAGCACTTAACCACTGTGCCACCAGGGCAAAAGGCAGGACTCAGCCTCTGGAATGGGAGCCAGAGGAGAGATCCTGGGCTTTAGAAGATGGGGATTGCCTTCTCTGGACCCACGGCCCAGAAACAAAAAGGGTGACATTCCAAAGCTAGCTTTTCATTAATGTTTTGGCTTCTGACTTTGTTAGGAAACAAATATATTTTTAAAGATCTTATCATAAGTTCTCCTAGACTCCAGCCTTTAGAGCAAAGGAAAAAATGGTAAATATGAAGCATTCATATTTGGCCCCATTTTCAAGTTTTAGAATATAGATCTTATCGGAATTCTTTTAAGAAAATTAAAACCTAATACTGTTCAGCACAGTAAGAAAACTGGTTCACTTCTGTTGAGGTTTTTCGTTTTATGTTCCCCTAACTCCCCAGGGTCTGCAGCAAGCATTTGAATCCCTTGTGTGCTTTTCAGCCAGCCGGCAGAACTGCTGCGCAAGTCTGTGGACTCGAGGCACTGGTGGATGGTCTTTTAAAAAGGGGAACCTGAGCTTAGGGAGAGAGCAGCAAAAAGAAGGGATCGAGATAAAACTTCAGGCCAAGATCACCACCTGGTGGTTATAAGGAGGATTTAAGAGTTCTGTGTTTGTAGTGTTTGCCACAGAACACGAGGGCTATCTTTGCCCCCCACATTTAAATTTTCACTTACGATAATCGTGGATTTTCACTTACAGTCATCATGGACTCAGATTTCGAAGAGTGATTTCCTGGCATATGACGTTAGCAGTTCTTCTTCAAAAACGATCTCAAGTCCTCAAGCTATGCAAATAATTGTCTGTGTCCTGCAGAAGCTAAGTCTCTGCTCTTTGTTGTTCCGAATCTGTAGAAAACCACTGCAGTCTTTTCGCTCTTACAACCTTTACCTGTGACGTCATGCTTATTTCACGTGGCATATTTCTGCTTAGCGGGATGCTCAAGAAAGAAATGCTTCAGGTTTTCAGGAAGCTGTTGTAAGGGTCATACAAAAGGAAGTCACTTTTTTCCATTATAAGAATTTTGGGAGGGAGGGGGAAAAGATGAACTGATACCAAGGGCTCAAGTAGAAAGCAAATGTTTTGAGAATGATGATGGCAGCATATGTACAAATGTGCTTGACACAATGGATGGATGGGTGGATTGTGATAAGAGCTCCCAGTAAAATGATTTTAAAAAAAAAAGAATTTTGAAGAAGAGTTTGCTAATATCCCAGAGTGATTTTTAGGATGAGCAAAATTGGTAAGGATGGGCTGATCTTGTAATAGTTTTTTAAAAATTAAAATGCATACCTAAGACTTTGGGGGGTAAAGCATCTTTTTTATTAAGACACCTTGAAGCTAGATATTGGAGCTGGGTAAGGTAGGGACATCAGCCCAAGGGGAAAAGATCCTAGTAAATTAATCTGGATGCATATTTTATAGGCCTGGGGGAGGGGAGAAAAGATAAAGTTTTAAATTTCAGGTTGGCTGTATCTTTTTACCTAGTAGGAAAACTGAATCCAGGCCACCAGAATGTGACGAAGCTTTGCACTGTTCTGGGATTTTTTTTTTTTTTAATCTGAGCAACTCAGTATTAAGACATCTGGGTTTCAACACACTTTATCAGCTATTGTAAAATCTGCTGCACATCTGCCCTCCTTTGGCTCCCGTGACTGATCAGCACAAGACAGAGGTCAGATATGCCTCCACCCTCCGTCCCTTTTGCCGTATTCTGACACCAAGTGTCCCTTAACGGCACTCTGTTTCTCTGGCTGGGTTCAGTGATCATTGCAATGGCCACACAGAACTGACAGAAGACGTTCACGATTATGGGATTTATTAGGAAGTTCTCACTCACTGCCATCGAGTCAATGCCGACTCACAGTGGCCCTATAGGACAGGGTAGAAGTGGCCCTGTATGCTTCTGAGACTGTTTATGGGAGTAAATACAGTCTTTCTCTGGAGGACCGGCTGATGGTTTCAAACTTCGAAACTTTTTTTTTTTTTTCAAACTTCGAACCTTAAGGATCACAGCCCAACTCATAAACACTATGCCACCAGGCTCCTATTAGGAAATTAACAGGTTATAATTCAGGTGAGAAATGCTCGAGATAGAGATGTTCAGTCAGGATAGTTTCTTCTCTGTTGTGCCCACAGGCAGGCCTCTTTTGCAATGCTACGAAACTCTTTTAGTGTGGGATGCAAAAGGGTCTTTCCCCAGGTTGTTCCCCAAATATATGCCAAACCTAAGACGCTGCTTGCTACGCATGGTAAATGACTGTACACTCCGGAGGCCAGCGCAAGCTGCTTAGAGGTTATCTCCCGAGGGTTATCAGCCATCTAGAGCAATCAGACTCCATAGTCTGTCCCACCCTAAGTAGGGCCCACTCCCTTCTGATAAGGGGAGTGGATTGTCTCCCTGAAGGAGAGCCCAGAGACAAGGTCCAGCCAACTTAAAGGAGGACCAAGGTTAGGTTGCCATTTTGAATCTAGGGTCTGCCCATCTTGTCACATGTGTAACCCTTAGTGCTGACCCTTCTGATTGCATATACACCCCTAGCTTGTCCCCCTCCGATTGATATATGCTGATTGTACAACCCCTTCCCATTATGATGTAATCAGGGGGGCTTGCACGTCCCCGAAAGTGTATTTATGCCGTGATTATAGCCAGCCAGGTCCTCCCTCTCTCTCTGTGCGAACCTGGCTGCTGAGAATTATGGCCGTCAGGGAGGTGAGCGCTTGCATGCTTTTTAATTCAGTGGTTTTCAACCTTTGGGCTGTGACCACTTTGGGGGTCGAATGACCCTTTCACAGGGGTTGCCCAATTCAGAACAGTAGCAAAATTGCAGTTAAGAAGTAGCAACAAAAATATTTTATGGTTTGGGGGGTTACCCCATGAGGAACTGTATTAAAAGGTCGAGGCATTAGGAAGGTTGAAAACCACTGCTTTATATTGACTGATGTCTCTTTAATTTTACCCCGGTTTAATTACACAGCCACCACTTGGACCCATTCAGTTGTGGGGACTGGTAGCCCACATTTTAGGGCTGCCAATAAATCCCCAAAGGGCGTGCCACTCTGCCATAAGCCTCAACTCAAAGGCCCTTAGTTAGCTCCATCTCCATGTGTAGGTCAGCAAACACAGCTTCCCACCAGCTAGCTGCCCCAAACCACTCAGCTTTCCTTGCTCTGGGGGCTGGAAAGCCCATGCTGTCTCATGCTCTGGCTCAATGCACAGGAGTCTTGAGGGTCCCAGCACTTTGCCCACTCTTGGCTCTTCTCTCTAGCTGGTAGTAAGATCCTCCTCCCTATTTCTGAGCAGGTTTGCCAGCAAGATGGCAGTCACAATTAATCCTGTTAACAGCCACTCACAACTGAATCATATAACCCAATCAGTATCTTCCCTCACCTTCTTACTCAGACCCCACAGGAAAACAAGTCTTTTAATGGGAGTAACATAGGCCATGGCAAGACGAGCCGTATGTACCAATTCACTGCATTGCATCCACATATTATATAAACCAACCCTAAACCAAACCCATTGCTCTCAAGTCAATTCCGACACATAGGCTGTAAATCTTTATAGGAGCAGATAGCTTCAACTGTCTCCTAGGGAGAGGCTGGTGGATTTGAACTGCCAACTTTGCCATTAGCCTTCCAGTACCACCTGGGCTCCTACATATTGTATAGCTCCATTCATTTGAAGTGTCCAGAAAGGCAAATCTATGGAATCAGAATTGTTACCAGGAGCTAAGAGTGCCTGCTAATGGGAGAGTTTCTTTTTGGGGTGATGTAAATATTCTGGAATTAAATATTTGGTGTTGTTTGCACATTGTATAAATATAATGAATGCCATGAATTATACACCTAAACACTAAAAAAGTAAACAAAAAGCTCCTCGTGGAAGAATCAACAAAACCAATCAACAAAACCAATCAACAAAACCAAACATTCGGTCTCTCTGTTCTAGCAGAAATGCTATTTGAGCATAGTCTCCTCAGTTGGTGCCTCGTGTTTTGCAGGGGGAGCAAAGAACAGCACAGCTTGGGCCTGGAGAACTGTTGTCATTGGTACTTTATTCCCTGTTCCTGACATTCACAGGACCACGATGGGCCTCCTGGAACATTGGTGTCTTCATCTGCATTCGATGTGCTGGAATCCACAGGAATCTCGGGGTGCACATATCCAGGGTAAAATCCGTTAACCTCGACCAGTGGACTCAAGAACAGATCCAGGTACTTGCACAACCCACCGGTCAGCTGCTGGCATGTGTCCACGTACAAGTCGTCGTGGATGAATTTCACTTGTGACGGGTGTCGGGCAAAGGTGAAGGACGATAAAGGAACTTTCAGTTGTTTAATATGTAAATTAACAAATACTTTAAGGGGACGCCATAGTAAAGGACATTTAAAATCATAAGACGTGAGTTTTTCTACTTATATTTTACCTCTTTCAAACCCCGAAGTGTAGTCTAGCACCCCATATGCCCATGCAGGTATTAAGGAAACTCTTTGGATTACTTTCGAAGACCTGTAGCTTTTATAGACTTAACATTTTTAGTTTTAGATATTCACAAAGAAAAACTCACCCAAAACATAGGCTTATAATAATATTTTATTGTTAAAATACGTGTATGAAAGGTATTCAAAAAGCTCCTGGAAAAATAGAATTAAAAGGTAATGGAATTTTTCCACAAATTATTTGAGGCCTTCTCTTATGAATCTCACTTGCTGTTGGGTTGGTAGACTGGTTTGAGTGAGTCACTCAAACTACTGAGTGAGCTCAGCTGGCCTAAGGTCTGCATCTTGTAGCTTCATTGTTCTCTATTCCTGCATTTCATTTTTTTTTTAAGTGAAATTTTTGCGGGGAGGAAATAAAGTGATTTGGGGTTGGGAGAATCCAAACAAAGCTAATTGCTAGTGTTGGTGATGGAAAGAAGAGGTTATTCTCAGCCACAAAATGGCTTACCAATTACTTTAGATCATATATAGAGTCAGTAAAGATTTTAAAAGGTGAGTTATATTTACAGTTATACTTTCCTCTCCCTTAAAAAGGAACCCATACTTGAGAATTTGACAATTTAAAGAGATCTTGAATTTTTGTGTTCATGAAAGTTCAGGGCTCTACCGTATGCTGACCTGAGGGCTGGAGACTTGAACCCACTGAGCAGTTCTGCAGAAGATAGCCTGATGGACCGCCTCCATTCTGATGACAGCCCAGAAAACCCTCTGGGCATTGCCACTCTGTATAATACCGGGGGGTCATCAAGGGCCAGAATCGACGCCCGTGGCAAACATTTTGTTTTCATTTAAACATATTGGCAATAGATCTGAAGAGGTTAATGAATAGTAATAAACTCAAATTGTAATAATGAGTATTGCCTGCCAATTTCATCAGTTGATTGGTAGCTGTGTGTCTTGGATTTCCAAATGAGAGCTTAACCTACTGGTAAATTAAATAATCTTGTAGGCAAATCTTTCCATGCAAAGGACCCATAGAAGAGAAAACCAAATAACAAAAAGACAGCCGTGGAGGCAAATGGTTGAAGAGTTTCAGTGGAGTAGAGAGAATCATGAATTGGACATCAGAATATACAGGCTGAAATCTTGGTTCTGCCACTCTCTAGATTGGTTCTCGTCTGTAGAAAGCGATGGGATTTGTGGAGAACTTTTCAGCCGCTCTTAACCTGACATTCTCTTTGTCTACAGTGCATGCAAGAGATGGGGAATGGAAAAGCAAACCGACTTTATGAAGCCTACCTTCCTGAGACCTTTCGCCGACCTCAGATAGACCCGTATCTTTTCTGGAGCAATCTAGAGAGCTGAGTGGTAATTTGGTGTTTGAACAGGTCACACAAGACTTGTCACCTGTGAGCTAATCTCTATGTGGATCAGTCAAGGTCTTTGCATTTTTTCCCTCATATGGCGTACACACAAAAAGTACATGCATACCTCCTCATGTCATAAGTGTCATGTTGTGTCACATGGGAAGACTCATTTAGGAATGAAGACTGCAGTGGTTTCACTGTGTATTCTTCTACAGAGTGACATCTCCCACAGTTTGGGGATCTCTGAAACCACTGTCTGATGAATAGTTACTGTGCTTTGTTGAGCCCTGGCAATCAGCAAAGCCGCCATCCATTTTTATTGCCTATCGGTGCCCTGCGTGAAAGAAGTGACAGTCACTGACTAGCTTATTGATAACTTTATTCCCCTGCCCCTCACAAGAGATGGCACCCAGCAAACAAGCCAGTTCCCCAAAGGCATTCTTTCTCCACATGTGATCGGTAAATCATTTTGTCAGAGTTTTCTTTTTGGTGGGTACAGTTAGAACATATTAAAAAATGTAGATTTGGGAACCTTCTGACAATGGGGCACAAGTGTGCATGTTTTAGGGGCACTCTTCTGCCCAAATGCTTAAAACAGACAATTGACTACTTGAATTGTATTCTAGAACAGCTGTAGCTGCCTCTAAGGTCAAAATTAAGGATAATCCTTTTGTTGCTCTTATCATTCCCATGGAAAATCATGGGAGATAATTATTCACTGTGGTCACTGTGAAAGAGGCATTCCAAAGTTTTGGTCAGAGAAATTGCATATGAGCCAAATAGAGACAGCAGGTCTCTATTGCATGTGAGCCAAATAGAGACAGCAGGTCTCTATTGCATGTGAGCCAAATAGAGACAGCAGGTGGGAGGGAGGGAGGGAAAGAGGGAGGGAGAACAAAGCTTAATGGGGTACAAATTGACCTTTTTTATTCATATTGTTGGCAAGTGTGTTTTGGTTTTTTTTCATCCTTAATAAGCTTTTCGCAGAGCTGTTGAAGGATTTATCCGAGATAAATATGAGAAGAAGAAATACATGGACCGGAGCCTGGACATCAATGCCTTTAGGGTTAGTTGTAAATCTTCCAAGTTTTGATCATAAGAGGTGGTTTGCTTTTAAATCAAGTTAGGGAAAGAAATTGAAGAACAGCTGCCAAGATTCTATAAAGACATTTAAAAATTACTGAAGTGTAAAAGAGCCAGTATGGAATGAAGACCATAAGATATCATGGAAAAAGTTCTACCTCAGGGATTAGCAGGGCAAACTATTAATGAATTATTTGCTTTGGTCTATATTCAAATGATGTTAGTGATTCCTAGTTACAACTTATTTATTGACATGAACATGTTGGGTATACTAGATCAAATGGAACAGGATATGAAGAGGTTTTAAAAAGGTGGTAGAAAAAAATGAAATGAAAAGGTAATGGAATTTCCTGACTAATTTTTTGAAAGCCTTGATATAGGTATAAGGTATATGTGTATATATGTGTACCTGTTTTGTTTTTGTTTCTTTCTATAAATGAAGTCAAGAAATTCAGATGCAGTTAGTCATTAACGTTTCTTCAGTTTGGGTAAAGCATACCTGCCACACCCCACCCAGTATACTGATGACTTGTCAAGTACACGGTTCATCCGAGGCATCTTGGACAAGTCCAGCACATGGTTTCTGGAAGAATAAAATATGATAGCTGAACGAGAACCACTAAATGACTAGATTATCAAAGGACTATTGAAACAAAGAAGAAAGATTTAGTTGGAAAATAGGGCCTTGATGATAGAAATGACACCAAATTTCTTGATGAATAATACCAATAGAAATGTTTCAACAACCCGATCAAACGATGCACTGCAGTGGGTAAATCTGCTGCACTAGACTGCTTTAAAGGCTATTACTTGGAGGAGTAAAGAATGCCTGACTTAACCATGATCATCTCAGTTGCCTCATGCATGTGAGAGTTGGACATTGACTAAGGAAGACTGAAGCAGTGTCGATGAATTTGAGCTGTGGTTGGAGAAGAATGTTGACAGTATCGTGGACTGACAAAGAGCACACCGAAGTACAACCCAGAGGCGAGATGGGAGACTGCCTCGTGTACTCTGGATATGTGTGAGCGGAGACCAATCCCTGGAGAGGAACAGCATGCGTGTAGAGTGGCAGAGCGGTGGAAAAGAGGAAGGCTTGGCACCGTGCCTTCACAACGGGCTCAGACAGGAGAACAATTGTGAGGATGGCACAGGACCGGGCAGTGTTTTGTTCTGTTGGGTATAGGCTCACTATGAGTTGGAACCGACTTAAGATCAGCATGGATGGAGGGACACTGCTGATGTTAGATGGATGTTGGCTAAAAGCAGAGCATATCAGAAGTATATTTACCTGTGTTTTACTGACTGTGCAAAGGTATTAGACTGTGTGGTTCATCATAAATTATGGAATGGGAATTCCAGAACACTGAATTGTGCTCAGGTAGAACTTGTACATAGACTAAGAGGTAGTTGTTCTAACAGGACAAGAGTTTACTGTATGACTTATAATTAGAAAGGTATGAGTTATCAGAGTTCTAGCCTTTCATCATACTTATTCAACCTGGATGCTGGGCAAGTAATCTGAGAAGCTGGATTATGTGAAGAAGAAGGGAGCACCAGAATTGGAGGAAGGCTCATTAACAACCTGTGGTATGCGCATGACACAACCTTGCTTGCTGAAAGCAGAGGAGAACTTGAAGAACTTACTGATAGTCAAGAACTACCATCTTCAATATAAATGAATTACACTTCAACATAAAGAAAACAAAAATCCTCCTGACTTGATCAGTAAGCAGTATCTTGCAGAAAATATTGAAGTTATAGATGCAGAAAATATTGAAGTTGTCAATGATTGCATTTTGCTAGGAACCACAGTTCACTCCCATGAAAGCAGCAGTCAGGAAATCAAAGGGCACATTCCAGTAGGCCTATCTGGTTTCAAAGGGCTCTGCACTTCCCACCCCTCTTATAGAGGTACTTTTTGGAGGGCCATAATTATAAGAGTTACATAGAATGTCCTCTGCTTTTATTCCATTTAACATCTCATGTATCTACATGATATTGATGAGGTTCTCAAAATTTTTAATTGTTGCACCATCTTCCATTGAGTGGCTTTTCTATGGTCTAGGTATTTTGTTTTTAAGTTTTCCTGTAGCAATCCAATTATAGGATGAAATTCTTGGCACATCTAACTCTTTCTGCCTTTTGGATTAATTTCTTAAGATATATTTTCAGTTTGATATTACATAGGTCAACAAGTTTCCAGGTTTGTCTCTGCCTGCCTTTGCTGATGTCTTTTCAGGGGCTTCATCATTTTGCTCTGTTCTGCATTGCTTTCCCTCCACGTATAAGAGTACTGGCTTCATTTCAACCCTATCGCTATTAGATGATGGCGGTGTTAATCAAATCCTCCTGACACCCCAAAATGCATTTTAAATTATATTTTTGATCATTAGCAAGGTTGAACATTGCTTTCTTTTGTATGCTATCCTATTCCTTGCAATTTTTTGTTTTGTTTTCTAATTTTTAAGGGACTTGTAATTGAGATTTACTTTCTGGCCTTTTTTAAAGGAGATGAAAATGGCCTATGGTTGAATGTATAAAATTATAAAGTGTATGTGCTAAAAAGGATGAAGATGAACTTCTATACCGGTGTCCCAAAATGTAGGGGAGAAGCTCCACATTTTGAAGGACAGAAATAAACTGGGACAGAAATGGGCAGTAAATGAGTAAAATTTCTTAGCCTCTGTAGATAGCTTAAACAGAAAATGTCACAAGTGGGTGAGACAGAACCTGGAGTCAGGTCATTATGGGTTGCTTAAGGTGCTGGCTGCCAGGAGATGGTCCCCCTAATGGTTAGTGCTTATGCTTTGGGCTGCTCACCACAAGGTCAGTAGTTGGAAACCACCGGTCTCTGTAGAGGAAGTTGGGGTTCTGTGCTACTGGAAAGAGTACAGTTTCAGAAACCCACAGAGGCAGGTCTGCCCTGTCCTGTAGGGTCATTATGTGTCAGAATCAACTCAATGGCAGTGAGTTTGTTTTTCGGAAGGTGTTGGCCATGCCTCTGACAGCATAGAGGCTCATATGGAAATGATCACCTCTGTGTCCCTACACCACGGGCACCCCCAAGTTTGTCACACTCTTGCATCACGTTAATAGGGTTTTTTGATTTTATTTTTTAATCCTTTTGGGGCACTTGGAGCCCTGGTTGCATAGTGGTGTAGTAGTTATGGGTGAGGCTGCTAACTGCAAGGTCAGCAGTTCAAAACCATCAGCTGCTCTGCGGGAGAAAGATGGAGCTTTCTACTTCTGTGAACAGTCAGTCTCGGGAACTCGCAGGGGTCACTCCACCTTGTCTTACAGGGCTGCTATGTGTTGGCATTGACTTGATGGCAGTGAGGTGTTTTGTTTTTTGGCCGGGAGCACATTTGGGATTATAAGTTATTGATTATTACTCACCGAGGGGCTTGGGTTCTTTGTCTTATTTTTTTTAATTAATAGAAAGAAAAAGATGACAAGTGGAAAAGAGGAAGTGAACCAGCTCCAGAGAAGAAAATGGAACCTGTTGTCTTTGAGAAAGTGAAGATGGTAAGTGAGAAATTGCACCATGTGGCTGGCCTGGGGGACATTTATCTATGTGGGGTAGCAGGTGAGAGGGCTCTGTGCGAGTGTGAGGTGAGGGTGATACTGTTTTTCACCCTGACACCGGTGCTAAAAGGTGTCACATTTAGATTAAATTGTCTGCTGCCATTCCCGCTTGCTCCCCATGGCCGTGCGACTGCCTGATCTCTCTGTAACACTGGGGCTTGGGGCCAGAAGGAGCTTTGGTACTGCATCTGTGCCATCGGAGCCACAGACATGTTCCATGCCACAAGGCCAAGGCCCATGTGAGACCTTCTGAGAAGATGCCACCCCCACATTAGTCCTCTTCCGTGTTGGGCTTTTTGTACTTCAGTTCCTTTTGCATTTGAGAACAGTTCAGAAGGTAGGCCACATGAATCCATTGTAAGTGATCCCTTCTGGTATCCTGGCTTTGTGATACTGAAATGGACACCTTTCTTTTTTCGCGGGAGATATTGGGACTGGAGTAAGTAGATTCCCTTACCTAAGAGCTTGGAATCTTGGGAGAGAGGACTTGGTACTGTTGCCCGAGGCAGAGCTGTCCATCATTCTGAGTCGCACTGTGTGCAGAACCCAGGCATTAGCGATCTGGACACAGTGACCTTAGGTCATCATCAAACTGATCTCCCTGTTGGTATGAAAATAAACCATGTTCTAACCATTGGGAGATTTGTTGGCTCCTGGCTTTTTGTGCCATGAGATACCTGTTTATGTTTTTGGCTTTTCCTAGGACTGAAAGATGCTGCCTCTTTTGACCCCCTGATCTGTGGTTGTCATGGTGACAGAGCCAAATAAGCACAGATGATTTCTCCCCTTTTGACTTTAGGTTTGCTTTATGCACCTGTGCCTCCTCTCTCGATTCCTCCATCTTTCCTTTGACTCTCCCTGTTCTTTGGTAGCTCTCTTTGGATAAAAGCGCTTAGAGCACACAGCCTTAGAGAGGTGAGGGGAGAAAAAGTTCAAAAGTGCCTGCTTATTTCTTTTTGTAACACATTTCCACCTTAGCCACAGAAAAAAGAAGACCCTCAGCTACCTCGGAAAAGCTCCCCCAAATCCACAGCGCCTGTCATGGACTTGCTGGGCCTTGGTAAGAGTTGGAGTTCAACCTTTCAGCTCCGTCCTTTTGCAGCGCACAGTGAAGTCCCAGTGACCCCTGGGGAGGTAGACATGGCTTCTCCAGTGTATGTCTTCTTCACTAAGCATCTTCTCTCACATTCTTCCTGGGTGTTTTCAATTGAAGAAGTTGCTCTGAGAAAGCGTTCGGTGTTGACACTTTTCAGCGCAGTAGCTGAGTGAAGTGGTTGAGACCGTGGGTTACCTACCTCAGCCACTGAGCATCCACGGTCTTGATCTGTACAGTGAGGGGGTGATACTCTACTTCAGGGGTGTTGGAGGCTTACATGAGAGAATCCTCTAAAGCTCTCAGCCCAGTGCTTGGCAAGTACGAATCGCTCAGTAAACCAGCATGTGAGAGCCATTTCCCTCTACTCCACCCCCTGTGCCCCACCCCTTTCATTTTTCATGTGTGTGACCCGTTTGTGGAATGGCCTCCTCCTCATTGTCCTCCAAACCGTCGAAACGGGACTAGAGATTCTGCTGCTTTCAAAAACAGAGCCTACCCTTTTCACAGTACCAATGGTTATACTTGGTCTCGGGCCAGTTCTGCTGATTTAAGTTATTGCTTCTAATTTATCTATCTTTCTTTTCTCTCAGAAAATGAATCCTACACAGCTCTGTCCCTCAAATAGCCAGAAAAGAGCCAACCAGCCCCACCTCCCGGGGGGGCTGCTCTAGCCTTCAGGCTTGGGTTTCTCCTATCTTAAGCCTGCTAGGTGGCTGTAGGCCTCCTTCAAAGCACTCTGGGAAATGTGAGGCGAGGCTTCTTTTGAGAGACCTCCTGTAAGCCTGCTCCTGATTTGGAGGTCCACCTTCTTCTAGCTGCTTTTTTGTCTAGTATTAAAGACAGGCATGGCCTTACGGAGCAGGGCTACATTTTAACGTTTCTCTCTCTTTTTAGATGCTCCTGTGGCCTGCTCCATTGCAACTAGTAAGACCAGCAATACCTTAGAGAAGGACTTAGATCTTTTGGCCAGCATTCCATCCCCATCTTCTTCAGTTTCCAGAAAGGTGAGACGTGTGGGCTTCCCAGGACTGAAGAATGTTCTGGAAAGGAGGGTTTTGATAATTTACCCATGGAACCAAGTTATACTTCCTTGGGGTTACTTCGGTTTGGTTTGGTTTACCATTTTGTATATTAAATTCTGACCACACTCCTGTAAAATAGATAGTTTCCAGATAAGGAAACACTGGCTCAGAAAAGTTATGTGAATAGCCTGGGGTCACACAACTAGTAAGTGGCTGTACTGACATTTAAGCTGTTCTCTCTGGCTGCATCACGTGTGGAGTTTTATTCTGATTGCTTTGTTTTTGCACCAGACCATGTTGCTTATGTAGAGCAAAGACCTAGACCAGAGCATAACTATCAGGGGTTTGCAGATATTTGGAATGTCAGGGATGAAGTATTAATATGAGCCACTGATTCTTACTGCAAGTCTTGGAAGCAGCAGCGATGTAAGGGAGAGGCCCCATGAGGAGTGTTCCAATTCTTCCCCGGCCCTCTTTGTCCCAAGGCTGTAGGATCCATGCCGACTGCAGGGAGTGCCGGCTCAGTTCCCGAAAACCTGAACCTGTTTCCTGAGCCGGGAAGCAAATCAGAGGAAACAGGCAAGAAACAGCTATCTAAGGACTCCATCCTCTCACTGTATGGATCCCAGACTCCTCAAATGCCTGCCCAAGGTACAGTTCATGGGGGAAAGTGCAGACAGAGACCTGAGGATTCACACGCAGGGATGATTTATTCTAATAGATTGCTATTGCTGTGGGAGCCAGGACATCAGACCCCAGACAAGCCTGAACTTGATATTTCCCGTGAAGCCACAAAGTGAGGACAAATAGGAATTAGGGTGACTCAGAGCCATACTTCTGTGGGGTCGGGTGTCACATGGCTACGAAGTCTGACGCATGGTCTGGATCTGCATCCTAAAAGGGAAGTGGCTTGGACAGTGACCTAAGGGTGAGCCATAGTAAATCCTGTAGGAGACCCATCGGGCTGCTTTGCTGTGTAGATGAGGAATTGTAGCTGGAAGGAGTGGCTGGGGAGGTTTAGGTTGACTATGAACTCTTCCCTCTTTAACAGGTCTGTCTGTGTGTTTTCTTGGCAGCAATGTTCATGGCTCCAGCTCAGATGGCATATCCCACAGCCTACCCCAACTTCCCTGGGGTCACACCTCCGAACAGCATAATAGGGAGCATGATGCCCCCACCAGTAGGCATGGTAGCTCAGCCAGGAGCTTCTGGGATGGTTGCTGCCCCGATGGCCATGCCTGCGGGCTACATGGGGGGCATGCAGGCATCAATGATGGGTGTGCCAAACGGAATGATGACTACCCAGCAGGCTGGCTACATGGCAAGCATGGCGGCTCTGCCCCAGACCATGTATGGGGTTCAGCCAGCTCAACAGCTACAGTGGAACCTTACCCAGGTAAGCTGCCTCCTTTCACTCAGGACAGAGTACTGAGCCTTCTGCAAAATTAGCTCGTGTCTCATTTATGCCTCTCCTTTATCCCTTGAGTTCTTTCAGTGTAGATGAGATAATGCCAGGAACATTTGCAGGTTTGCTTCCCCACCGCACCCCCTAAAAGGCTTCTCTAAAGTCACACTTTCTGGAGCATTCTAGGTTCCTGTAAAACAATGGTAGCTGCCTAAATTGACATCTTCCCACACATTTTTAAAAGAAACCACGCTCTATAAATAAACAAAGAGAACAAATAAAATCACCCATAGCCCACGACCACCACATCTACTAGACCAAATCCTACAAACTTCGAATTGTATGGCAGTAGCTATAGGAACACTCCACTCAAACACAGCACCGGAGGGAAGAGTTCAGAGGAGGGAGAGGGAGTGGGAACCAGTATGGAATGCCTCACTTCCAAAAAAGAGAAGAACCCGCCCTGAGTGGATACATGTTGAGAACACGCCTGAGGCTTGAGAGGCTGGAACTCTGGCTCCTTGGGCATCAAAGTAAGGGCCTTGACATAGATAGGATTAGAGGCGGTAGGTAGCTTGCAAGAAAAATCACTTCTGGGAGCCCTACGGGGACATGTAGAAGAGCAGGTCCTCCGAAAAGAGAATCACAAAATCCAAGATTTCTGTCCTCCTCCCCTCAAAACGAGTATTTCACCATGCTACCAGAAGAGGGTGCTCTTGTCAGTCTCGCCAAGCCCTCACATTTAAATGATTGCTGATCCAAGAAACATGGCAGTATAAAATAAACAGTAGGAACAGATACCATTAGTATAAAATTACTATAGGAAATAAAAACATTTCAAGAATTTCAACCATTGTCACAAAGGGGAAAAATGTAAAAAGTGTTTACTGTTGAATGGAAAACAAATTTACTCTGTAAACTTTCAGCCAAAATACAGTTTAAAAGTTTCAAAAATATTTTAAACAGTTTTATTGGCATGTAATTCACATATCATGCGTTTAAACAGTTTAATCATATTCAGAAGAATTGTACACTCATCACTATAATTAGTTTTAGAACATTTTCTTTTTTCTTATGCTCACTGTTATTCACCCCCATTTCCTCCCAATCTCCCCTGCGCTACCCCCAATAAACCATTAATCCTGTCACTGTCTCTGTAGATTTACCTATCCTAGACTTCATACAGAGAATTGAACCCCCAAAAGCAAAACTAATAACAATAATAAAGTAAAACAGAAAAAAAACCTTAATCAAAAAGAAAGAAAATATTAAGTAGTAGAACAAATTTTAAAAGTGACAAAAGAGAGATCAAGTAATAAGGTGTTAAATATTTTTTAATAATTTTATTAGGGGTTCATACAACTCTTATCACAATCCATACACACATCAATTTGTACATTCATTGCCCTCATCATTCTCAAAACATTT